TATAGCTTCAGTGCACAGGGGCTTTAGCATCTTTTGACAACTCACACTAGGAATTCATACTAATGGCTGAAGGCAGGAAGATCTGGTCTCTGTCTTTTGCTTGAAATTGTTTAGTGATACTTTCCATTGCAGAGAATTTAACTTTAGTTAAGTTGTCATCAGTTGACAGTCCATCTCTCTGTGTTTGGAACACAGTGTGCCTTAGCACTCTCAGGCAAAGCTAAGCCTTTCTGTTTTAATGACAAGTTCCTGAGATAGGATCTAACTGCTGCCTTTATTGCTCAAGCATAAATTGCCTATGGTTAAATATTTGATCATTTAAGGTAGAGGTGGCTTTTGGGGAGTTAATGTAAGTAGCATACTGATAATATAGTGAGTTCAAATGCATCTAAAAAGAACTGGTTAAACTAGGGCAGTACAATTTTAATCAGCACTACTTGAATTCCAGCAGTTTATTGCTCGGATCAAATTACAGTGATTTGTAAGTATTGTTATTGAATTTATTAATTTTAACTAGAAATCATCAAATACTAACCTGTCCTTGAGTATTATGTTTTCCCTTTTATAATAAAAACAGGTATGTTCTTTTGTGGGTGGGTGGGGTGGGGAAGGGAGGAGGGCGAGAAATGCCTTCTATGATTTTAAAGTTATTTCTTTTTAAATTTGTATTTCAAAATGGTTCTATCTTCTGTATTCAACTTCACCACAGGAAGAAGGCAACAGATCAGGAAAAAAAGTAAATGCATAAGAACGACTTTAACGTAAATAACAATTATTAATACAAAAAAAGCATCCCCAGAATGTTGTTGAAAATCCTACTAAAGGAACCAGTTTTTAAATGAAATGTGGTATTTTATACATTGAGATACAGAGGACATTTAAAGTAGCACAAGTAAAGAATTGTAAAATTATTATTATATCTTTACTTTTCTCCTTGGTTTCTAGAAATTTAGAGAGTGAGATGGCTTTGCTGGAGAGTATGGTTCTGGACATACTCTCTGGACATATGCCTGCTGACATCTGGCTCGTTCAGATACTTATCCTCACATTTCAACTGTCATAGAACCTATTTATCCTTTTAACAGAATATGAACACTTTGAACTCCATACGGCTGAGGGGCAAAGGAGTTGTGGGGTTTTTTTAGTGTATTCCTGAAAAAAGTTTGTGCAGCTTTCAAAATGCATAGCATGAAGTTTACACCTCTATCAAAAAATCACTTGTGAATCCGCAAAGAAGACTCAGAGGACTAGTAGTATTTTCTTAGAACCTAATGTATTTTTACATCCTGATTAATTTTTATTATTATTTCATTAGATGAAATTTGAACACGAAATTTGCATTTCATATACAAGATCCACGTATTTTTTTCTTCCTGTAAATTAAAACTGTTCAGCAGGATGTACAGTCTCTGGGTCCTGTGAGCAGACACTTTCCATGTTGGAAAGCCTCTTTCTGTAGCCGATGAATATGTGCATTACCACAGAGATTGGCCTTAACTTGTGGTCCACATGCCAGAGCCCTGTGTCCCTAGAGTAGAAAAAGGTGTGATATAGGTCTGTGATGACAGCTTTTCTAGAAAAGACGTTTCTCAAATTGTTAGAAAAATATTTTATACATAATGTTGTGGGTGCTGTAGCACTTCTCTTGCACTTTTAAAGGGGCTTATCCAGTTCAGATCGGCGTTCTAAGCGTGATATCAGTAACCTCTGCTGAAATGATGCTAGAGGACTGTGAACTTTTGAGTTCTCTTCTCAGCCTTCAGTTAATGCTGGCAAATAGGAAAAGTAATCTTTTTCCCTAAGTGTCAAGAGGGTGGGAAGCTGCTGTTGGGAGGGGCAGCAGCAGGGGCACAGCACAGGCAGCTGGTGCAGGAGGAGCAGTTCTCACGCACTCTCTGTCTCTCTCGCACAAATGTGGTCAGCTGGTGGTAGGAGTAGCAGCAGCGAGATCACAGGGGTGTATCTCACATGATTTGCTGGGGCCCTGAGTTTGTAAACGTTGTAAAAACAACAGACACAATTTCTGAAAGAAAGTGATCTCTAGGGTTTAATGCCCTGCAAGACAAGACTCCTTTTCTTTTGGAATTTTGCACTTCTCATCAGGACGTCTTACCATTGCAGACACCGAGCTGTTGTGAGCATTCCCGTGGCAAAGCAAGTCCGTGGTTCGCCGTGCACACAGCCTCATTGTTACAGACTCACTCTGCTTTCATTTTCTTTGGTTTTCATTGCCAGACATGAAAAATAGAAACTATCCATTAGTGAATGTATTTCCTGTCCTATTAAAATAAAGAAATCACTGTTAATACTTCTCGCCTTGGTCTTGCCAATATTGATTTCCATTAAAAATACAAGTCTTACCTGATACCCAGCACACACAAACATACACATACACACCCTACTCCACAATACTTTAGTGCTTTAGGAAAGTTCTGGATTGATATCTGAAGACAATGAAGTCTTCTACCTGTAAAACCTGTCACCAGTAACATTATTTTATCTTTCTTAACCAATATGTCTGAAGCGTAATTGAAAAGAGCACACGTTTTGTTGGTGGTTCAGATTTCATACTCACTTAGCCAGAAGTAACAGCATCAATGCCAGTATTACAGCTTGAGATGGCGCTCAAAATACTCTTCTGTATTTTACTATTTTGTGCATCACCATCAAATGCAAAATTTTTCAGATTCTCACTTGGACACTTGTTCTGCAAATACATATGCATTTGGTTTGCATTAACTTGAATGGCATCACCAAAGAAAGTTGGGTTAATCATATTTCTGTTGGGTCTATGCTTAGAGTTTTCAGAATAAAATAAATATATAAAAGCTTTATTTTAATATTGATGGCCCAGGTGGCATCCAGCATTCACACATAGTATTAGTAATCTGTTATAGCAGCTGTTTTGTATCCTTGGTAGCAGTGGTATTAAAAAGGACAGTAAAAGCGTCTTACAGAAAGGTATGAACTAATAGTCATATAGTACACATTCACTAAATTAATAGATGGGAAATTGCTTGCTGCAGGTGACAGCTTTTACTCTTTCGTTTTCTTAAATACTTGTTTTCATTATTCTTCATGAAAGTTTGTTTTCAGCAATTGGATCTTTTGACGTCATCAGTGCCAATAATTCAGTGGCAGAAGATATCAATTCATATGACTGTGAATTTCAGTCTGGTTTTGTACTTATCTATAATAAAGAGACTTATTTGTGACATAAATCATATTGATATAAATTTGGCCAAGTTTGATTCAGCTGGTTGGTGTGCTACCATCACTCTGCTAATTGTAGCTTACCATGTCCATTTTTGTTGTAGTGTAAGGGCAAACCACTTGTCAAAATGTTCTGAAGTGTTTTATTGAAGTTACTTAAAGTTCAATTTATTGTTGCATTGAGACCAAGACCCAGGTGTATGAAATCTGAAAGAATTCCCTAGAGTTCTGAGCAGTTCTTTTTCTCCCTCAAGCAGAGAGGGAGAACCCAACAGTTATTTTTCTTTGTACTTTCCGCTCATAAAGTCTTACTTTGTGATCACAAACCAAGCAGATTCCATTTTAAAGCTTGTAATGATGTGGACTCACTTCCTTAGCAGGTGTTAGAGTTTGATCAAGTGATCAGAAACAATCTGGTAAATGCAATATAAGAACCTCTCAGCTGAACATGGTAACTGACTGTGTGCAGTCTTGCAGTCTAGTTTAGTACAAATAATACTGGTTCACTTAAAAGACATTCCTCTTTCAAGTACCTTTCAGCATTGTTAGACATTTTGCAAACCCCTGCTTTACTGCCCAGAGCAAGAGAGTTATGAGTGTGCATGTAGTTATTAGTCTCAGCTGGCAAAATGATAGCTTACATCTGGAGGCAATAGCTTCCTGAAACTCAGTGGCCTGCTCCCATACTGAAAACACTTATATTTTAAAGGGAGAGTGTAAGAGAGTCTTCCTTACTCATGTATGAAGTGTCACAGTCAGAAAAAGATGGACCTTTCATTTTCTAGATGACTGCTCAAATTCTAGTGGGAGGTGTCCCTGCCTACAGCAGGGGACTCAGAACTAGATGATCTTTAAGGTCCTTTCCAATCCAAACCAATCTACAATTCTGTCCTCTTCCATTTCTGGTATAATTTATACTGTAAGGACACAACAGCTGCCATGGATTACAGGATTGATGGCCACACTATCATGGATCTCTTCTGGTCCTGACAAACTGCTTCAGTACAGACTGTGAAAAAGGCATTGCTCTCTGAGGAGCTATGTACTGTTTACACAATACTTGAAATCACAGTTTTACCCATATTGGATTCAAAGCTTTTGTATTTTGCTATGCTCTGCCACAGCAGGCTGTTAAATTCACCCATCAAGTTTACTTTTGCTATGAGTTTTATTTGTCTTACTGAGTTTCTCATTTTGCCTTTTCTAGATGCTGTCATACCATTGCAGTATGTCTTCTGGAAAAATCCATGTTGAAGTGAAATAATTCGACTTTCAGATTACAGTCAGAGGAAATTTTAGAGTTTTTAAAATAAAAGTTTGGATACCATAAACTTTGTTCTGTCAAATCCTATAATTTAAACGACCTCTAAATGCTGTAGCATTTCCGGGGTAATCAAACTCTGGAAGGTCAATGGATCACTGTACGCATCAATTTCTACTCCCAACTCGTGCTTTACATTCCACTAACAGAACTTTTTCTGGAGAACTGCTGATGCTTGAAAAATACAATGGAGAATAGCCATTTATTTTGTCTTTCCATTTTCATTTCGAAAGTATCTATCTTAAAAACTTGAGTGAGATGCTGGGCTTGTTAAACTTCACTTACTGAATAAAACTAGATCCAGAATCCTTTGACCAGTTCTGCTGTGAAAGAGAGGACAATCTTTGTCAGAACTTTGAGACAGTTTATCATTTTCTCTGCTGTTCTTATGGTTGTATGTGATGGTAAGATTGCTCATATTCCCTGATTTGTGAGGCCTATCACTTGTGTGTGTGTGTGTTTACAGCTTGCAGAAGTAGACTCCAGAGCTGTACATCTTGGCGCTGTCTTGGTTCGTGGCCTTACAACGTTGCTCATGGCCAATAGCGCCTGTGGCTTTCCATTCAGAATGGATGATTTGATGCCTTGGGCAGTGTTTGATGGAAAACTTTTTCAAGAAAAATACCAGCAGTCGCACCGAGGTTGCTCTGTGCAAGAGCTTTTGGAAGGCAATGTAAGTAATCAAATCCTCTTAGACATTTCTGTATGCTTTGAAAAAAAGTACCTGCCCATTTACTTTGTTGTTTTAATATTCATGTTTACACTGTTCCCCTTTCTTTGTATTTTTCTTCTCTCTCTTATTCCTTTTTCACTCTCTCCACAAAAAATAATTTTAAAAAAAAGTAGAAATACTGAGCCTATGAAGAAAACTGTAATTTTGCCTTTATTTTTGTTTCCATTACTCAGAAAATAATATAAGGAAAATGGTTGTCAAGTTCAAAAAATGAAAATGCCCATCATGGTTTCCTAGTACCAAGATCTTATTGAGATCTTTTTCCTGTAAGATTTTAGGTAACATATTAAGAACATCTTTAAATAAGCGCACTGGATATAATTTTTAAAGTATTTAAGAGTGATATTTTTAAAGGCATTAAAGAACCTAAAGTTTGAGGTGAAGGTTTGGTAAATTCAAAGAGGAACTGTAAATCAGAAGAAGGTGTATATTTAGGTATTTTTTTAAACTCTCACCAAGTACCTTCCTGTACCTCTGAGTACTTTGGTTCTCAGTCCCACTTTATCTTACAAATCTGGGGATTTGTAAGATTTACATGCTATGTTACCAAAAAACCAATGTGACTTCAAACATGTCTGGGCAGAAAGGTACTATCAGAGTCCTGCTCAACACAGTGCATTGCAGTGGCATTATGTCCAGGCTCAGAGGTAGGGTCTGCTAGACTGGATGCAAGACTGTACTGATGCGTGAGTGAAGTCTCAAACCAGACCTGGCTCATGCCCCATCAGCACAGAATTTGTGGAGAGATGGTTGGGTAGGTCTGTACTCATCAGTGAAGGTAGCTCTGAAGACCTTCAATTGATGTGCCTCTTTTCACTGTGGACCTGAAAAGCCTGTATCATTTAATTACTTTTGAAAGTCTTACCTTTGAAATGTTTTAATCTGCTATTGAATATATCACTTGAGGTTAAAATAAAGTAATTGGAGAGAAAAAATATTTCAGTTTTGATTTATGTTAATCTCGTGCATTCAATGCCAGTTGTTGTGTAGTTTTCTTTTATAATTTTGTGTCCAATTACATACCATGCTGGTCTGGAGTGATGAGTGGAACACTTGTGGGTGGGTGGAATGAACGTGTTTTTAGCATGAAGGAGGAGAATAATCCTTTCCATATGTATTCAATCATATGATTAGGACCATAACTTTTATCCAAGTCCTGTGGTTCCTATTAATTGATTGGTTGATTTCGGTAGATTTTGGATTGGGACAATGGTTCACCCAGTTTTTCATGCAAGACTTTTGCAGAACAATAGATGGTTTAGAGAATAGATAGGAAAATATAAAAAGTATCCAGATCTGTGTGAAATTGATACTTCTTTTCCATTTGGGTAGAATTCATGTTAGTGGATAATTTTGACAATACATATCTAAATCTGTATAAGACTTATATTAATTGTGATAGGTATTTTTAAATATGTTAGGTAGTATGTTTTAGCTAACATTTGAAAATTTTGGTGTGGTAATGTTTGAGCTGTATTTTATCCTGTTTTATAACAAAGATGAAGAAAGATGTTTACTTCCCTAGAACAGAGTTAGAAATATGCTTGATCAACTAAAATATCTAGGTTAGGGTTTTTAAAAGCCTGATGCTCTGTTTCACACAAACCCCAGATAAAGTGTTCTATTGTGAGGAAAAAATACTCTAGCCATGTGAATTTTTAGAGTAGTTTAAATATCTTTTTCTTTTTTAGGTATGATTTTATGGTACATATATGGCAGAGATATGTACCCAGACTAACAAAATAGCTTTCCAGCTTATCAGTTTGAGGCAAGAATCTGTTTTGAGGCGAAGTGCCAAGAGATGCCAGTTTAGCTGGGAACACTGGCAAGGCAGCAAGCATATGTGATTGGTTTTTCCTATTAAGTTCAACTTTAATAAATAAAAATGGTACTTAGTTCCTGGCAGAGTTTAATGTACTGCTGGAAGCCAGGATCTTTCAGCACTCGTTTGTTAACAATCTACCCTTGAGCACCATAAATATAATCTGGTGATAGTGATAGCATTGTATTCAGAAAAGAAGTTATTCTGTGTGGGATGTTTTGTTATAGAAAATATAAATAATAGGAAAAAGTTATTCCTTTTGTTGTTCAGTGCTTGTCTCCTAACTCCTAAAGTCCCTTCTCTATGATCTGGACAGTTACATTACTTTGGGAACTTAAGGCAATCTCAGAATAAGTGCTGTTTTGACTACAATGGGCTTAAAAACAGTTAATAGCTTTCTGAAAATTATGGTGAAAATACAAATATTTACATGTATATCAGAAATTTTGAACATTTTAGGATTTGCTTCCTGCAGATTCTTGTACCCAAAGAAGACAATGTATACATTAAGTACACTTGATATATTTGTTGGCAAGTTTTTGTGTGACTCAGTTCTTTGTAACCTGTCAGCTGTTAAAGATAAAAAATGGGCAGCCTTGGATAAGAATAAAAAAATAGAGCCATCTTGCTTTTTAAAAAAAATATGCTAAGCTCACATTATGCTAGTTCTCTGTTTTTCAAAACAGTAATCATATTAGTTTCTTTATCCACACAGAAAATTGGATATAATAGTCTCATAAAGCAGTGAGGCAATGATATTACCACTTTATTAGCCTTTTTATTGTGCTTCTCACTAATGAGTATGTTTATAATTACGTTTTTAAAATTAAAACCAAATTACATAATGGGGTCATCATAAGTGAAATGTTTTGTTCTTTTCTGATCCTGCCTTTCATCTGACCTTCATAAACACATTCTGAATTTGTTCTCCCAAGAATAAAATGAAAGTTTTTTTCCATTAGAGGGTGTTCTTCACAAACTGGACTCAGCTCGTGTGGTAAAAAAAAAAACCAAACCTGTGAGTTTTGTTTAAGGCTCTATAAAGAGGTTTGTTAACTCAAAAAATGCAGTTGGGACATTCGCAGCAGGGTTCAGGGATTCAGACTCTACCTCTAATTTAAGAAACCTCTCTAGTTGCTGCAGTCTTGCTACCTATTGGATTTTTTACCTTCTCGCGTCATCTTCTTCCCTCCTGCCTGCTTCTAAAAAAGGCATTGTTATCCAGTAAAAATCTGTTCCGTTTTATGAAAATCACAAATTGCCCTATCACTCTAAAATCTCTCTTTTCATAATTCTCTTTATTGTATACTAAAATCCCACATGCCCAGTACAAATTAGGAGAAAAGAAATACATTCTGAGACCTGTCACTTTTTCAAAGCTTACAGAAATCAGAGCAAGTTAAGGATATTTCACATCTCTCAGTGTTGCATCTTTAAATAGCTTCAGCTTTTCCTTTTGAGAGTAAAATTTTTCATCACATGACAAGGTAAACATTTTTATTTAATTCCTCCATTTCTCTTTAGACTTAGTTCTATTTTATCAGTCAGGAGTCGGGGCTGATGTATTACTGTTGGGTTAAGTTTTGTTCCTAACATGAGATTAAGAGACTTTGATTTTAACTGGTGTATTTTCCATGAGTTCATCAGTCCTTATCTGGAGTCTTTAACCATCTCTACCTGAGGTATTGCTGATAGAAGTCTAGTTAAGTATATCTACACGTACAAGGTAATAGCATAGGAAGGCAAGTGATTTACAGACATGAGCAGAGAAGAAAAACAAACTTCACTGAGAAAGCAGGAAAACACTTCTTCTGCACCCCTACTCATCCTTCCAAGTATCCACTTTTAATATTAAATGTTTGAAATTTACTTCCTGAAAAAATGTGAACCAGATCTACCACCTTCATGTATGCATGACTGTGGCTAAGACAAGTCTTTTAGTTAGTTGTTGTGTGTGTGTTTGATTTGTGCTACACTTGAAGAAAGATGAGCAGAACGGTCATTGATTTTTAACCCTGTTGTTTGCAGGAGTCTTTGTATACACCCTTCCAGAATCTGAAGTCTTTCATTTGCAAGGTTTGCATGGCAAAGAAAAGAGTGATACAGAGCAGACCAAGAGGGAATGGATTTAACACAGGTTGGCATTGTGTTAATTTTCTCAGTAAAATTAATATATTGATGAGTTCAATTATCCTTCAACAGCAGCATCAATTACATAGGCATCCCATCAAGCTAAGTAAATTGTAAGGTCTTTCTCCAAGAAACCAAAGGAGAGATCTTAGAAAATATTTCCCTTTTTAGCAATTCATGTGAATATGATTAACCAAGTTTAGATAGAATAATATTTCCATCTAGCTACATAGTTAGTGGGATATATGCAACAAATATCATTCATTGATAGAAAAATCACTATTTGCTCTGAGACTAAAGTTATTTTTATAGGAAGAATTGAATGACTCAGCCCTTTTTCTCCCATTCCCACAGGGGAGCTATTTTAACATTGATAGTTGAAGGTCTGAGTGAGGCAATGAAGAGGGAATACTTTTTATTGGACTCAGTGATATGGTTCAAACTATAAGAAAGCAACCTGGAGAACTGTGTTGTTTTGTTTACAGCTTTGCTTTTTTCCCCTCAGCTTTATGGCTTGGTTTGCTAAAGACATTTGCTTTCCCTATGTGATCTACCTGACTTTCAGGGGGAAAAAAAACATCTAAAAGGTTTTTAGCATCAATCACAGATCAGCCTTAATGTTGAGGCTTTTGAGATTTCAAAATAACTTACCCCAAATCTCAGTGTTTATGCTTATATTGTATTTATTACTTGCTTAATACCTGATCAATTATAATGTCTGTGAGGATAAAAATTACGCCTTAAGAATTTCTTGAGCAAATTACAGCAGTAATTTTCTGCTAGTCAGTACTTTGTATTATACTTCTGATGTGGTACTACACTAATGCTGGTGCTGGACATTCAAAATTAAGGGTATCTGTTGGTGATTTATAGTACCAGACCTTGTTAGCATCTGCTTTTCTTTGAGAGCTATACTTAACCATTTTAATTATGATTTGTGATTCCAATTTGGACAGAGATTTCTGTTTGGTTTATTGACTGCATTCTCCAAATCTATGTCATAAAATTTTGATCTGGTTTCTAAATACGCTTGTTAACAGCTTGTAATCGTGATGAGCATAGGTGGAAATGAGGGCAAGAACCACACTTATTAGGCTGACTTTAGTTTGGAAAAATCATAATTGTGCATGAGTATTTGGGATAAAACTAAGAAATATTGTTTCCTGAAAAATATTGTTTCTTCATTTAATCCCATATACTGTCAGAGTTGCTTAGTAAATACTGTTTTTCAGGAAGAGAACAAAGAGATTTTAATCCCAGATTCCAACAACCACGCAGAAGTCATTTTGTTTCTCCATATCATAACCAGATGAGGGGGTTCGTACAGAGAAATCCTCAATCACAAGGTAAAAAATGTGTGCACATTTGTGTTTTTGGAATTGTCACTATCAACAATATAAAAGCTCTGTGTCTATATGCAGTTACCCTGTGGCTACAGCAGTCAATAACAAAACTTGCATCATATTTGTGTACTACCATCAGGAAAATCTAACTCTGCAGGGTGAGGTAGAGTGTAGCATTATAATCTCTAGTCTTTTACTCACAGTGTTCTGGGAAAAAAGCTTTCATGTGGCATTTATAAGTTTCATGCTTGGTCTCAGCTGAACTGTGTTTAAAATTGTAATAGTTCTAAAGCAAATTGGCACAGCTGCGCAGAAATGTCTGTCTGAAGTCTTTAGCTGCAGATTTTTGTTCATACTTCAATAAAACACTTAAGCATATGAATAAAGTTAAACACATTCTTAAGTGCTTTTCTAGGTCAGGGTCTCAGCTTCCAGGTCACTCCCTGAGTGAAACAAATGCATGTTCTGTCTCGCCTTGGCATTAATCTTAAGTCATTCACCAGTCTCACTTCTTGAACAGACATTTCAATGAAGCATCACTGTGGATAGCACTGTTGAGCTGACATAATTCAGTTCTACTTCCTCATTACTGTGAGTTGAAGCACATACACATAGGTTAAAGAAAATAAACAAAAGGAAGTGAAGTGTCTAAGAAACATCAATTGTTTTATTAAGTATGCAGAGCCTGAATTTCTTTCGTGGTTCCAGGTGAGGTTTTCAATGAAGATTGATGATATGATTAGGGAAGATAAATAATAAATAAATACAGTGAAGTCTTTAATGTGTTTCAGCTGCCACTGTTGAATACTTGCGAGTAAGATGCTACCATTTGATTCACAAATAAGATTGTTCAGTCCTGTATGTAAAATGTAAAGCTAAAATATAGAGTATGTATGCTGACCATAAGCAAAACCAAAACTGATCATTGTTATGAGTTCTTGACCATCTCAAGAAACCTAACATTCAGAGGTCAGATCATCTCTAACCAGCTCCAGAGATCTTATAACTAGATGGATTCCACAAAGTATGTTCCAGAGTAACTGTGCTTCAGTGTTATAAATGTCTTTCAGTAGCATTATTAAAACATCATGGCTTCTTCTACGCTAGACCTATTTCTTACCCTCAGGATGCTCTTAAAACATGATCCCATAACTGCAGTTAAATTGCCTCTGTTAGAAGTTAAACCATCATTATCATTCATCATGGCTAGACTTCGCGAACGAAGATTTGGGAATGGCTCTACCCACGTCTGTTGCAAACACGTTGGTGGCTAAAAAGGCCAATACGAGAAAGGCATGTCCGGTTGCAAAAGGCACAGCAGAAAGACTCCTTAGATGGTATATTCTGCGAGGCACGATTCTTTCTGCGTTGTCTTTTCTCCTCAAGGGTGATCCTGCGTGCTTTCTCAAAGGCATCAGCAGCATTATAGATGGTGTGTCTCCAGACCTCCCAATTGGAGGCCAGAGTAGACCAGTTATGGTGGTCATATTATTGGAAAAATACATCTGTCCTCACAAAAGAGCCCTGCAATGCTTTAGAGCTCCTTTTAAACTGATCTGCCAACATGATTCATTTTAACAAAGTTCCTTTTTCCTAAGTTGGCTAATATTAGTACAGGTATTTGGGTTGTTTCTTTATGTAGCTGATGTCTCTGCTGTATGTGTCTCACCAGAGAGAGAAAAAAGAACAAAAAAGTGGCCATTTTGTGTTCCTGGTAGCTTATGTTATAAAACTTCCTACTAATATTACTTATATCTGTGCCTCCCACTCTTTATGTACCATCCCATGGTATACTGTTATATGGTTCCTGCTGTTGCATATGATATATCAATCATTGGATTAAATGCATTAAAAAGTAATGGAACAGTAACCACAGGACCCATATCTTCTGTGTCAGGAGAATAATAATGATTAGGCAGCCTTTGCTCTTTCTTATCAGTTAATGTTTAAGAATTCCATGACTGTCTCAACTTCACCAGTAAAGGAAAGAGTGCTTTTACAAGAGAGCATCAATCTGAGAAGCACTGGTATTTCTCTGAGATGATGGCTTGAATCTCCTCAGGCAGAACAAGAATTGCATTTAGGCATAGCTCATTGTATGGTGAATAGTAAACACTGAGCTGCTGTAATTTACAGCTCATCCTCTAGGGAATTCAGCTGGGGGGGGTGGTTGGGAGGGTTGGGGTTTTTTTGGTTTGGTTTGATTTTAGTCATTTAACTTCTCTCTGTAAATTTCTTGACTCTGTGTTACAAAGGGATAAGAGCACATCCGTGTAATTCAGAGCAGGACAACTAAGCCTCACAGGGAGGTAGATTTTCCCTTAGTATTTCTTGTTTGATAATTTACGGATTCTATGTTTGTGGCTGCAACACCACATCACAGGCCATATAGACTATTGGTAGGTAAACTTCATTAATTAGACCACCACTAAGTCGTTTTGCATCACATTGTTATCTCATTCTACCAAAACCTAAAAATAAACTGAGCATTAAGAACTGTGGAAATCACTGTGAATTATCACGTATCTTTGCTCTCTTCAACAGTCCAGCTGTTAAACACTGATATTTTGTGTCATAGCATACAAATTACCACTTAGATCTAAATCAGCATACAAAATATAACAAAAAAAAGAGACTAAATAAGTAAATATAACCTCATCTATACTTTTATAGCTATATTTTAAAATTTCTGTGATGTGTACAATGGTTCTCACACTAATATTTTGAAATCTGCCGAAAAGTGAACTGGAGGCAAGGGAATGAGATAGGGGAGAGAGTGTCTATGGGTGTAGCTGTAACAGCTACATGAATGGTTAAAATCAAGGATACCCTAATACTTTAGAAATAGTGGAAGATGTTGGAAATTATATAGAATTTCTGCCAGTGGTAAAATAAACATCATAACTCTCTGTATGACGGGCTCAAGGGAGGGATCATAATGAGTAAGAGCTTGCAGAGCGCTAGAAGTAAGGGATGATAATTGTAGCTACCAGTCATCTACCACCAGAATCATAAACAGTGAGATGGGGACATCATAAAGCATTCTGACAATTTCATACTTGCATTTAGACGTTGTTGGATTTTGGGGCTCAACTCTATTCTGCCTAAGAAAACTCTGTTCTTTCAAAAAAAAATTAGTTTTGCTTCTTTGTTTCCATCCATCTTTGCTGTATTTTTCTTCCATCTTTCTATTAAAAAAAAAAAAGTGGAATTGGGCAGCTTTTTTGTTTTTAAATAATTGAACTTAGGAAACATCACTTTTGCAAAAGTACTTTATTAAAAAAAAAGCAAAACAAGGTCGCGGAGAAAAGCTTTTATGGAGCATTGAAAGCAGTTTTTTGGGGAAACAGAAGATGAGTGTCAAGGAAAGAGGGGAAAAAAATTGTGGGAGGTGTGTTTCACCGAGAGAAAATCTTTTGTCCAAGACAAAAAGGAATTATCCAGATTTCCATTTCTTCACAGAATGTAATTGCATCAAGAGGGTACATTCACATCAGTCTTAGCACACTGTAAAACATGTAACAGAAGACAATGCAAGCAAGCTCTCATTTGCAAGATATTTAGTCAAGGCTTCCACACTGGTGTTGCATACTCTGTGTTCAGTCATGTTTCTGATTAATAGGATTTTGATAGAACTGTAATGCAGATGGAACTTGGTAGAACTTCAGTGCTGAAAAAAAAAAGATATAATTTACAGTGTAAGTACTACTTTGCTTATAGGAATCTATAACTAAAGCAGTATTGTACACAGGCACACTTAAACCACTATGAAAATATCTTTAAATATAGCTCTGATGTCTGGTTCTAAATAGTGTGTTTTCCTTTCCTGAATTCATACAGTCTTATCTACCATCCACAGTGTATGACCTATATGACTCACTATCCCAACCCATTAATTGGTCTAGATTTAAAAGTTAAGAAAAGCGATGACACCATGGACTTTGTCCTCCAACATCTCAAAATGTTAGACATAATTATACACCAACTGAACAGGGACATGTACTTTTTTCAAGATGTGTATAAATGTAATTTTTTGAGAGGGCTACCTGAATAAGCTCTTGTTTTCCTGCTTTAGTGTTCATTAAAGTGTTTAATTCCTCTCCTCCTTTCTCCAGGTGGGGGATCAGGACACCCAGACCGGAGGAGATTTCACCTTCCTCCTCGGTAAAGAATACATGTCTACAGGTGGCAAACTGAGATGATGGGATAGTTACGTTTGAGATAATTTTTGTTTATGAGAACCTCTTTTTATAAACTTTGTACAAATAACTGAACCACGTAATTGTGGAGGAAATCCCTCAAAGCTGAGGCTGTTCACCTTGTTAATCACTTTTCATGTTAGCTCTCTTTTTATGAGACCAGAATCACTAAAACTTGTTACGGGTACCTGAGACACATTAACATCACAGTACAGCTACATGGTTTTGTCCATTTGACAATGGAAAGTCTGAAGTGTTTTTTACAACACTGTTAGATATTTCTGACTGTAAATTTAGGATCTAAACTATGATTTTTGCATATTTTTGTTATTTTTGTTTATCTTACAAGACTTTCCCCACTGTGAATAATGTGTCATGTTCGTGCTGTATGTGGTTTGTGTCTTAATTGTGGATTATATCTGTATCTTAAGGGTTATACCATTGTTACTGAAACCTGTAGAAAAGTTTGAAACATGCCATCACGGATGTAAGCATCATCTGCCAGTGAAACAATATCACCTTTTTGTAAAAATGTAACACATTAAGCTCCTGGAGCTAGTCCAGCAAGAACTGCAGAGATGATTGAAGGACTGGAGAATCTCTCTCACAATCAAAGGTTGAGAGAGTTGGACCTGTTCAGCCTCGAGAAGAGATGAGTGAGAGGGGACCTCATCAATGTGTATAAATATCTAAAGGGGGGGGTGCCAGAAGGATGGAGCCAGGCTCTTCTTGGTGGTGCCAACCAATAGGACAAGAGGCAGCGGGCAGCAACAGATGCACAGGAAGTTTGAACTGAATATGAGGAAGAACTTCCTTACTGTGCAGATGACTGAGCACTGGAACGGCTTGTCCAGAGAGGTTGTGGAGTATCCATCACGAAATATTCAAGAATCACCTGGATGAAATCCCATGCTATGTGTTCTAGGACGACCCTATTTGAGCAGACAGGTTGGACCAAATGACCCACTGTGGTCCCTTCCAACCTGACCCATTCTATGATTCTGTGATTATTCACTTAATGTTGTTTCTTTGGCCTTGTGCAGGTAACTTCTTGAATCAGCTCTCAGTGGAACTTAGTTCTTGTTTAGTATACATTAGGTCCAAGTGAATAGTATTGTCAGACACACGTAACTCCATGCTATGATTTCCTTGCATGTATTTTTCTGTTTGTAACCCAATAAATACATTCTTTCATACTCAGCGTAGAGCAACAATCCAACTAAAGAAATAAGCAATACAGGATTTCTAGTTCTATTGAAAGTTTTGACAGACTCAATTTTTATACAACACAGTGTCTTGATAAGTGTTCCAAGAATCCTGCCATGATGGGGTATTCCTGCTTCCTTTTTTGATTGATTTGTCACTGACTGTAATTGTACTATCATTTTTTTCTTACCCCCACCCACCCCTGAACCTTTTGGAATAATGTGGTCTGAGTTTTATGGAAAGTTCTCTAGTTTCAGGGATCTCATGATGTATAATGGTGTATTTGAAAAGAATGTGATTGTGTGCCAGAATTTGTTGATAATTCCCCCTTCAGGATTTGATATGAGAAAAGATTTCTGTTGGCCTCAAAAAATGAAGTTAAATACAGCTAGAGTGGGAGTTTTGCTGTGCTAGCTGTGGTATGCTATGAATTATTGGTAATAATTACCCTGACTACTGAAGAATTGATAGTGTCTCTGTGAGGGTTTTTTCCTTCCTAATGTTAGACCATAAGCAGAAGCTGCTTATTATTATTTCCAAGCCAAAATATTTTTTTCCCACCAGGAATTGTAGAGTGAAAGCATAAGCATGAAATCAAAACACAGAGGTGCTACTTTCCTTTCTCACTGAGCTTCGAATTGTTCAGAGTACCATAAAGCTTATGGACTCTAGAAGGAAATCATAGACAAGAATATGACCTTAAAGATCCAGTCTTTATCCAGTGTAATAGGATTTCCTTAAATGTGGACTACAGGGTTGTTTTGAGTGGTTACAGGACAGGGGAAAAACAGACGTGGATTTGAAGTGATGTGTGTTTGTGAAGAAAAGCATTCTTGTTCAGCTGTACTGCTTACAATCTTCCCTAGCCTGTGCACTGGGTAGCTGTCATCCAATGTGTACTGAAATTGTGGATTGATTTATTAGCTTTATGTGTTCCCCTTCAGGAAAGGGAGTCAGAGAATATTCTATAACATCAATAACTTAGTCAACTGTGACTCAGCAGAAATTGTAACATAGTCATTGTGAGAGAAAGAATGACGGGAAGACGTTTATCAACTTTTCTCTTTTTATGTATTATGTATCCTTCCTGTTACACTACTTTACTCATTTGTGACACCATTCCACTGGGAATCTGAATCTGGACTGCAGAAAACATGGAAACACTGAGATAATCCTATGATGCTGTGGAACTGTAAGCCTTAAAACATAGTTTATGCCTCTTTTATAAAACAGGAAACCACAGTTTTAATTGCTTTGCTACCCTAGCAAGTGTTGAGCTGAGATGGAGGGGAACATCAGTGTTAAAGCTCTACAGATCTTTTTGTGCCATGCTGTCTGAGCAAAATTATAAGGGTACTCAAACATATGGTATTATTTTGTAAAGGTGTTATTTATTTAAATGTTGTGGAAGAAGATCAGAAGTTTATATATTCCTATTTAAATACTGACTCCCTCTTGTCAGCTAAGCTGGAAGGTGAGCTAATATATGTCCTTCACTAGGAAGTTTGATGGGATATTCCTCAGTGGTGCAGAGCCTCCTTAGAGAGTATCTTTTGTTGATATAGAAGCATGGACAGCTCAGTAAATAAGCAGAAACCTTTGGCACCTTTATGCCATATAGGCATATCGTGCTTGAGAGTGTAGGAATACCATGGCGCTTTGTGAGTCTGGTGAGGCTGCCCTTTTGGATACATGTTGATGACCTGGTAAGGTTGCTCCTGAATGTAGGTCGTTCAGACTGGCTGAGGTTGCTCAGGATAGGGCTCAGTGACGGTGAGTATACAAGCACCAGTGTTTTCTGGTGTCCCAGGTGCAGAGGTGCCTGACAGCTGAATGCCTGCACCCCTGAATGCACTACAAGGTTCTTCTCCTGTCCCTCAAGGGATCTGGCTGCCTGCAGCTGGGTAACCTTGGATCCAGCTGGTGTGTGAGAAAGACCTGTGTAAGAGATGTGAGAAGCCTCACAGGAGTCTCATGAGACCCTTGGCTCAAGAGCCCAGGGTCCGTTTAAGCCCAAGTCCTTGCCCTTGGTGCTTCGCAGGTATTCGTGTGTCCTGCCTATCTGATTCCACCTTTGCCTTGCTGATTTGACTTCCTGGTTTGACCTGCATGTCCCGCATCCCCAAAGACTTGTCCAGTGACCACAGGAATATTGTGTGAATCCGGTTACCATCATCAGACCTGCTCTGCAATTCTACTGTGGGACTGAACCCTCACAAAGTCAGGTCACTGCCCTACATTGCCATGCCACGACTGGCTTGCCTTCCCTTGTGCAGCAGGCCACCCTTGCTGCCCTGTGAGCCCTGACAGCACAGGGGGTCAGAAAGTTCAGCTGAAACTGTCATAGTAATTGGATGGTGTCAAAACAATAGATGTGGTCTGTGGGATAACTTGCTGCTGAAAACAGCTGGAAAAACTGAAAATGGCTACAACCAGCAAAGTGTCTTTGTGTATCTCTATACAATTAGGACCTTGCATTCATTGCTCTCCTAGACCTTGCTGCTGACACCCAGACCCTTCTTACCCATAATTAGGCTACTGAGTACACCGTGTTTCAACATTACACACCACAAATCTGAAGCTGCTTCAGAACATGGAAGCTTATTTAAGAGTATGTTCTTGAAACTGATACTCCTAGAGCTCCACTGCCGCGGTCCAAAAGGGGGGAGGGGAATGGGGCCGCGACACAGCACGGATCAGGGATACAAAGGTGGGGTGCAGGTAGAATGTTTATTCCAGCGCGCATGCGGGCTTTTTATCTGGAGGGAAAGGGCCAGAACATAGGGCAGAGCAGGAGACAGACAAGCAGGGGAACAAATCAGATAGGGACACGAGCAAAAGGGGGAGGAGTGGGGGAAGCAGGGAGCAGGCAGCAGGCAAACTCATGGCAAGCCTGGGCATGACCAGGTTGCGCACTGTGTAGTGTGAATACAATGAAACCACATAATAATAGTAAAGTCTATATGATAACTGTAAGGTCCATATAATAATGTCCTGCCAATTGCTGTATGCTTTTCTCCACGCCTGGAACTGTTCCCATCCTGAATCTTGCTCCTTCACACTCCACTGGCTTGTACTGCTTTTGAAGCCCTAGGTGGAAGATCAGGTGTTAAGTTAAACCTAGTGTCTTGGCTAGGATTTCTTACCTGGAAGTATGTAGTTGAGACAACACATGATGGGTTGAAAAGTTGTCTGTAAAAGACAAAGAGTCAGCTGGCAAGGTATTCTGTCTGAGTACTCACCAGCCTAAATTTATTTAATCTTGCTACAAAATTAAGGACTAGTATTTGTTTGTGATTTTGCCAACTGGGACAATAGATCTTTATTGTATTAAAAACCCTCAGCCTCACAGTCTGGAATATTTGTTTATTCAAGTAAGGAATCAAAACCAGTTACTGACCCTGATCTTGTATGGAGTGCTGCTCATTGCCCAGGTAGCAGTTACAGTAGTGCACAACTTAGAATTCACTAACACACCTGAAATTAGAGTGTAGACAGGATATCAGTTGTAGTAATTGCAACTTCTGTCTCCCATATCTCTATATACTACAAATAGGGAGGTAACTGCTCTGACTACAGAATTTCAGTTTCATACAGTATTGTATTCTGCACTGTGTGTTCATATTTGATATTAAGTTGTATCTTGTCAAAAAACATCACCAAGAGACTCTCCTCTCCTTATTGATGATATTTGTGACTACTGCTTACCAGTCTTTTGGAGATGAAGGACTGGATTTGCTGATTGGATGCAATCACAAACCTGAAAGTTTCACAGGCCAGGGAAGCAAGGACAAAACAGAATGCTAGGGATGGATATATACAACATTTAATATTTCAAGGCTTTTAGCTTTGTGTTGGTTCTTATTTTCCCACAGTTAGTCATTGGATCACTTATTGAATGACCTTTTATTGGTAGTGGTCACACAGATAAACAGGGATATATTAATTGTTAATATAGTTAATTTAAGCATGATTTCTTACATACATTGATACTTCAAATGTATTAATCTGCTCTTTTTCATGCCAGAAGACACAAGAAATACTAGGCACAGGAACTAATCCCAGAAATAAGCTCTCTGAAAATGTTTGATAACTGCAGGCTTTTTAATAGAGTATAGTGCCCCCTGTCTCAAAACTTAGGTAGCCAAGTATGCGGCTGGCCTTTGGACTCTTATAGATCAAAACTGTACTGAAAGAGCTGTTCTGATCTCAGATGTGTTTTCCAAATATGCTTTAGGGAGCTCAAAAATTCATTATTCAGTGAAAGCAATTATAATTTTTAGAAAAGTGATGAGAAACTTGCATGTCACTTATGGCATTTGGAAA